TTACACTACTATTATAATTGTTCTACATAATAGGATACGCGGACTCCGACGCTATAATATAATTTAGCTCGAGAGTTATTAGTAGACATTTGCGCCGTTTTTCCAATCAGCTAGACTCCGAAATCTTCTGCTATCATCTCATACAGTGGAGGAGCTATTTTCGAGAGAGGGATAGTCATTTTGAACTGGATGGTTTTGTGACTCGATTTCATTGCTTTGATATCTGGCGAAGGAAACGAAAAGAGGCGGGTATAAATCATGAATACTATTTACATTTTCCCTTAGGAATAATTTGGTACCACAATATAGGCAATTCTCCTGAAGACTGTAGGATGTTTCCATTGATATCAATTGTTTATTAGTGTATTGGTGTGTTAGTTTTGAAAGGAGTGTAACGCTAATGCTTTATATTGTTGTTTTGCTGGTAATTTTCCATCGTAGAGTGAACGCTTCCTGTACAAGGGAATGATAAAGCAAATTTGGAAGAATAGCCACTCAAAGCAATACTTGCGTATGGACATAGCAGTCCTCAGAGATGTAATTACAACCATATGAGAACATACTTCGCTCAACCTTCAACATAATTTCAGTGAAAAGCTCCCGCGAATATAGGCTCTCCGACAATAATGCACTTCTAGAACATAGTTTATATCAGCGTAGTAACCGGATTATCCACATTAGCCGCCTACTCGGAGCTTGGTCTCTGTATCCACAATCTGGCGGGTGAAGGTGGAGTTAACCCAAGTATAGTTTTCGAGACTTGCCATGGATTTCTTTCATCTGGTTTGAGGGGCCGTGCACAAATATGTCTAAGACTTTTCCGCATCTCACGCCACTCAGGACTCGTGCTAGATATAAGAAGTCGTATGAATAGCCTAAAAGCTGGAACAGAGGCAGCAATGATGACCAAATTTGCCTCAACGCCACTATGTCCTGCGATCTCAGAATCTATTCCAGAAAGGATGGACGAGAGCTATTATGCACATACACCAATAATGCAACGGGCGCAATGGAGTAAGTCAGGTCTGTGGAACTCAGGAGAGGCACAGTAAACTTTAAACGAATTACGCTTGCGACAAACGTTCTATCATGAAATAAGTGATACGCACAATTAGTAAAAAGTGGCATGAATCCGATACTCACATGCTGACCAGAAGTAGTATTAACATAGATCGTACCTTTTGGGACTTTGGTACCTCAAGGTCCGCGATCACCGGGATTGGTAAGAGGATTAAGCAGATGTCGGATATAATATTCAGCACGGCGACCGCAACTAGGACGACTGATCGATTAATACAATTGCCCGCCAACAGGATGTTCCAGGACTTTGAGACTGGTTGACAAGCAAAAATAAGGCAACACGTCAGGGAAATTGACCCCACGATGATGAAAACAGCCACCAAGTGTAAGGTGTGAAGCAACCACCTCTTTGCAACCATCAAGCGACGGAATAAAATCAAATGGGTCGCCCTTGCTAGGCAGATACCAGCAATAAATAAACACGCTGCTGTAAGGAAAAGCTAGTGAAATGCTTCTTAGATCAAGGCCTATTTGTTTTTCATATGAAAACGTACCTTCTCAAATGTGTTGATAGTATTCGGTGTGAGGTATTCTATGTGGATGCCCAGACCTGCGTGGTCCAGTGCATCTAAAACAATATACTTCAGTCAACACATCGGCACTAAAGTTGAGAGTGGACATACAGAGTATAACTATTTGTGCTCCCACACAAAATGCCTGTTTCTTGGTTAGTGATTCATTTTATGCCAAACGTCGAAAACATCATACCCAGGCTATGGTAAGACATTCTACTTGGGAAACAATTAGTAAAGTTCTCCTAACTACTAACTACCTTCCTTTGAGCGTCCGATAACTTAATCCTGCAGCTTCGGTGTTACGCTGTTAGGGTATGATACCGCGCAGGGGACTCACGGTCTTCCGCAGTAAACTTCCTGTGAAGTCGTTGCCTGGTCAGTAACCGAACGACCAGGCAAGCTGAACTCAGACTCAACCCAATGATAAGTGTAATTCGGTTAGCGAAGAAGAGCCGTTGGGATTTGCCATAGAACTCTGGCTCAGCTTCTTTTGGAGGAGGAAACTGCATTCTCTATGGAGTAGTCACAACCACGTAGAATGTCTCATATATCTGAGTACGTAATAAAGCGGCTCCGTGGTATAATTTATACATTTGTATGACTGGAAACACAAGTTTAAATAGGAGATACGTAGCCGTAGCTCACTTCAATTGCAACTCCTTGTTGTTAGAGGCGAATTCAACGCAGCACGTTGAAGAGTGTTATCATATCTGCAGAAGGCCTGATAGTCCCTGCTATCATTGCTTATTCTATGTTCAATTCATGAAAGTCTGTACAATATCGCTTTTTACGTGTCTATTCCAAATTTGGCCGCTTCTAGAGCTGGAGTTATGGCGTTCGTTAAACAAGGCTTTATTGAATATTCAAAGCCCTTGATCAACCAGGCCTCCCATACAAGCCGGGCTGGTATAGCAAATAATAAGTTTTACTCGTCAACTTGTGATCAATCCTGGGCGATAGCTGATTTAGAAAACACTCAACCCGTATATGCACGGATTTATCTTGGCTCGGAAGCGAGGAACGCATAGGTACGCCAACGATAAAAGGTACCTTTGGCGTATAGTTTCAGGCATCATAAAACTGTCATACGGCGTAGCATGGGAAATATGAGAATCAGATACGAAAGTGAGCCGATTGTGAAACGGATGTTGCAAACCACTGTATTAGCTCACCCTTTCTGGAACGTGTACGAGTCGAACCTATATCCATTCTAGGGCGTCTATCAGTAGTAAATGATTATTTTCCCTTTCCCTATTGGACGTTTAATTAAGCAAACGTAGAATAACTAGCTAGGAATTTCAAAAAATAGCTAAGGTGAGAGCGGTAGACTTCACTATACAGCAAGTAGACTGTTAATGAACGGTCGAACGTTGCTCTACTCTCCCCCTGTGATCCTATTATCGTCTGGTTTTTTTTTTTTTTTGTTTTGTTTTTTTGAGCGAGATTCAATGGCGTTAAACGGATTTGGACACGATCGATCATATCGATCAACATTATAACGCAGCAGGATTTAATTATGTGTCCCCGGTGTTTACAATGCTCGAGCCACTGAACAGGGTTGAGCATTGAACATTGTTCATCGACGTGTTCAAGGGAAGAGAGCAGGTCTATTGACGCTCGTGATTTGGCTCCACAAAGACAGTTGCTGAGCAAGAGAAACCAAAAAGAAAAGATTTTTTGGAACGATAATTGCCCCACCGGAATTCCACAGGACGATGGAGCCGAGTGGGGGTGACGAAAAATCGACCCAATATTGTGCGGTTACTCATATCCTCGGCGGTGTTCAACAAGCGATGGTTCCGTGTCCTGTTTTACTTTTTGCCAGAAGGCAACGCCGTGAGGTTGCAGTTACCATGTTGAAATGTTACCGATATGGCCTTCTCGCTTCTGGCGAGCAACGAAGATCAACCTTCCCAGCTACCTCATTAACAACTAGCGCGCCCCATGCGGACCCGCTGTCGAAATTAAGGCACGTGATCGCGCCAGCGCCCAAAAGTATTAAAGGAGGCTGTCCCCCGGCCCAGTTTTGGAAACTAGATTCCAAAAAGTTCTATGTTCTATAGAGCGGTCTCTCCGTCTGCTGGAATTGATCCCCCGCAACGTATACGTGTGGTCACTTCTCTGATAAGTCATTGGAGATTTTAGCGTGCTTGCTCGCTAGCACTGCTAGACCGGATCCCTCACCACGGGAGCGTCCGGCTGGCAGTGCCGGTGCTATCGTCAGACTTGATCCCTCACTACGGGCGTGTCAAGCTGGTAGCACCGCCACCATTGCTAGACCGGATCCCTTACCACAGGAGTGTCCGGCTGGTAGTAGTGGTACAATCGTCAGACTTGATCCCTCACCACGGGCGTGTCAAGCTGATTGTACCCCTACCATGCTAGATCTGATCCCTCTTTGCAGGAGTGTCAGCTGGCGGTGATAGTACTATTGCCGGACCTAATCCCTCACCACAGGAGCGTTAGGCTGGTAATAGTGTTGCAATCGTCAGACTTGATCCCTCACCACGGGCGTGTCAAGCTGATTGCACTTGAAGGGCAACTAGTGGCGGCACACCTTCAGCGACGAGCAGTTACCTCAACGTGGTGCTGAAGTCTAGTACTCGGACAGCGAGGCTCGAAGCCTGTTGTTGGGGGAAGCTAAAAACTGCTCTATCCAATGTAGCTTTACAACGCTTAATTCGTCTTACCCCCGGTATACCGAACTGTTAATTGCTAGTAATCTGTAAAAACTTAGGTTTGCTTCCAATGGCTTGGTATTCGATTTTGTTCTCTTATATAGTAAGCATAAGCTTCTATCCCGTACACACGTACATATATATCAACGGATTCTATATTCAGGCTTCGGTGCCCATTTATCCTGCAGAGCCTACAAGCAGTCTTTGGTAACCGGCATCGCGGTCATGCTGCGTGTTCTTTTCCCATGCTAGCATACGAGAAGTGTAGTGTAGTTACAATTTTAAAACATCCGTTTAGTAAACATGCGACCCCTTACCGTGCGAACTCCGTGGTAGATCGTAATTATTCCTATTATATTCATCTTTGATCGCCTTTTATCCCAAATCGCGTGTGTTGCGAGCTCACTATTACCATGCCGTAGGCGACATAAGTGGTGGTGGAAAGGGATTGTGTAGATTAAGACACGTATAATGTTAGGGTGAATCTTTGGTGCCCGACGACGTAGGTTAATTGCATTTCTATACATAATATGTCCACTACAGCCCTGCTGCCTTGGCATGTGCGACTTCGGATTACGGGCAATCCGTCTTAGAGATCGACCGAGCTGCCCTCTGTTGTATTATGCTCTCTATCTATGCATCCCATACTGTGTCAGTGGGGCCTTATCAGGTGCCATAGCCCTTGATGCGCAAACGACTACCGGTTGATATCAACGTTAACCGCCGGTTACAAGCGTTTCTGCCCTTCGAGTCGTATATGCGAAAGTGAAGCGATCTGTCGTAAGCGGGAACTCGGCTCTAGCGGGTATGGAAGGGCTCCTGAGCCCGTTAAACTAAGTGATACCGGATTCAGGGCCAGACGTAACCTAACAAGAGGCCAGTTCTCGACCTCCTCAAAGTCATCGGGACCTATCCGCATCTGAATCATAGCCGACGACGGTATTTCGGCATAGCAAAGCTGGGCCAGCCCAGATATGGACGCATTTATCTGCACACGCTGCAGAACGGGAAGCGTAACCGAGGAGACGGTAGGCCCCTCCGCCATGAAATCACAGTCCGATAAGATCAGCTCCTCGAGGTTGTTCCCGGCGCTGCCGAGCAGTCCGATCAGATCTATGCCGCTGCAGAAGGCGAGCTCGAGTTTCTGGAGTTGTGCGGCGTGGCCGCACCAGATAACGTTCCCCGCCTGCGCTCCTAAGATTGACAAGGCGCGAAGCCGCGGGAGATGAAGGAGCTGAAGTAGAGTACATGGGCCCCGTCCGTTCTTCGGACAGTCCAAGCAGTAGCAGCAAAAGTTCAACGTCAAAGTCTCGAGCATAGGAAGTGATGGAAGCACGCACAGCCCAGGCTCGTGTTCAATGCAGGACAGCTGTAGGTGTTGGAGGCGGTTAAAGGTCAGCGGTACCGTCCAGATCCGCGGCGACATGAAATCCACGCTGAGGCTACGCAATGATGGAAGAGCCGCCAGCCGTTCCAGCAGGAGTTGGAAGCTGCCCAGACTCGGTGGGTAGCTGATACTGTATCATTGTCAGTCCATAATTATTCGCGAGACAGCATTCTCCCGAGAGAGGGCATACGGCACCTGAAGGAGCAAAGATTACCAAGTCTGGGCAAGAGGTCGAAGAAGTCGGGCTGCAAAAACTCCTCATCCCCCCAGACATCCATATTGCGGACGTGCGGAGACCATTGAGCCACTGTTGTCAGAAGCCGGCCGGATGACCGAGGACACGATATTGAGAAGGGACGGGAATTCAGAACCTCTGCGTAAGAACCGTCGAAGCGAATCTCCACAGTGCGGAAGAGGTGCCGTGCCGAGACAACGCGCAATGTTTTACAACTGTCGTACAGATTCCAGAGGTCGCTTGGGCCTAACTAGCCTTTCCGTCAGCTATGAAGCCCGAGGAGGCTCCGCTCACGCGTTCAAAGGCTACGCGGAGGCTTACAGGGTTAGAGATCAGGTCGAGTATTTCGGAGGGGAGTTCCAGAAGGAACATTATAGATTACTAGGCGGTCTCCCTCCGTCCATGCGGTGTACTCTGATATTTGGTCTCGGCATGTATATATAAACTACTGATTGCATGAGTGATGGAGATGATCTCTTTTCTATCGTCCAGACATAGAATCCCTGCAAGGGCCACGTTATTACAAAAAGTTTACTTGCATAGACTCTAATACTGAACATTAGCAACAATAACAAAAAGGAAAGAAAGAAAGAAAGGCTGTATGGTACAGGCAGCTACCTAAGTTAAAGGTATACCGTTCGACATAAAATCCTGCGGTCCATCCACTTACTGTCGGTGGGTCATTTTGCTAAACTCCTGTGTAGGACAAACTTTTAGAGTGCACAAATGTACGGGACGTGACCCGCTTCGCCGAGAGTTGCCAGGAATCTTGGGCTGAACAATCTAAACGTAAATTTTTGCCGAACAATTCCTGTACCCCTCTGTTCCTTGCCCGGTCCGAGTTGACTCACTCTTGGGGTTATCGTTGCTGCCGTATTGTGACCGAACTGTTGTTATTCTTGATCTTGAACTGGGCCAGCCTAAAGTCCAAGTGAGAAGTTGGAAAGTCAAGATGTCCTGCCGCTCCGTTGAAAGGTAGTGCGGGGCTCAAAGACCCACCGTCTCTTTTGTGCGAGGGAGGCTACCATTTAGAGAAATATAAAAGAGACGAGAAAGCAGCTAAGGTATCTCTTCTATAGATAGTATGCTCGATAATGAGCAGCTAACAACTATGAATACTTTTCAAGCAGCTGCAGGAAGTCAAACCGATCCTGCATCACTGATAGATCAGGATCCTCCGGTGTGGCCTTTAATCAGCTCGTCTGATAGCAACGCCTATCCCTATCATTCTGAGGAACAGCCCGTCTCGCTTCTATTATTACCAGGGTCATATCTGCCCCGGAAACGTCCTGTTTGTGAAGCCAACGATTTTCCTGCAACGACGATACCACCCAAGCGGAGAAGAATTGAGGACTTTGACTTCGGGAATACCTATGATCATGTACCGCCAGCTAATCCCTCAAGCTTGGCTCTTCCACCCGCTCAACGTTATAATATGGACTCCCATGATAGCTCCATAGTGCACGGGTCACCCTTAGAGGCACCAGACTCTTCACTCCGGGGTACAATGACGTTGTGGGAGCCAATGACAGCAGTTGATCTTACCTCTGTGCCGCTGTCGTTATATTCCCACGCCCGGACTCTTTACGACCCAGTTGCGCCCACAGACGACCTGACTATGATAGCTGGGATTGAACAGCTGGACGAGACCCAACCCAGCATGTGCCACGCGAACTCTATGGCACCAGTTGCTGGCTCGAGGTCGCTCATACAGGACAATACCGCATGTATCCGGCCCAATGGACTCTTTGGGACGAACCTCTACTACCATCTTTCTGCTGATCTCGCCGGCTCACCGGACCAACCAGTTGACCAATACGGCTGTTCTCTTGGAATCGCGTACACGGCCCCCAAAATGAGGGGTGACGTTGGGCTTCCCACAGTTCCAGCGAACCCCTTGTATTCGATGGAGCAGTACCCAGCGCCTATCACTGACGACATCTTGAACGACTCTATGATGACTGAGAGCGTTGATGGGTCTCTCCCGACTCTGTCTATTACTCCCGAATGCTCCTCATCCAGCGCAGTCAGCGGCATGCTGTTAACCAACCCGTGTGATATGGTCGCCACAGCGCTGGCAGTCCCTCTGATGGAGCATCAAAGGCAGGGGCTACACTGGATGAGGAGCATGGAGGCAAGCTATCGGAGAGGGGGCATATTGGCTGACGACATGGGACTGGGGAAAACTGTGCAGGCGTTGTCCCTCATTGTCTCCCACCCTTCACGAGACGTCGAGCGCCACGCCACCTTGGTGATCACGCCAGCGGGCCTGGTGCAGCAGTGGAAGCACGAGATCCAGCAGCTACTGCGCCCGCACCTGCATCAATGCCACGTGTATGTGCACTATGGGGACAACCGGGGCAAGAGCTTCTCAACGCTGAATCAATACGATATCGTCCTTACCTCGTTCGGAACGATTACCGCTGAGCTAAGGCGAAGGGACCAGCAACAAGGAGAACGCGGCTGCAGCCCATCTACCAGCGACTTGCCGTTATTGGGTTCAACCAGCAGATGGCACAGAGTGATCTTAGACGAGGCACAGTGCATCAAGAATGATCGGTCTAAGGCCGCCGCAGCCTGCTGCGCCGTCGACGCTACGTATCGGTGGTGTTTGAGCGGGACGCCTATGATGAACAGCTTACCGGAGCTCTATTCCCTGTTGAAATTCCTTCGCGTGCAGCCGTCCTCCGACCTCGACATTTCCACCATGGTAAGTTCATCCATCTTCTAACTCTGTCTCATGCTGTTGCTCAATATTGCAAGGCCCCTGAATGCGCCATATAACTCTAACCGATGTTAACCTGACACTCAGGCTTCCATACCACCGCTCCAGAGCAGCTGGGAGCCCCTCCAGGTGCGCAGGATTGCACATCTTCGGGGATTGATGAACACGATGATGCTGCGCCGGACCAAGTCATCTATTATCCAGGGCCTGCCCATCATCCAACTGCCTGCCAAGACAACAGAGAACGTGTATGTAAGCTTTACCGAGCAGGAACGCAAGCTTTACACTATGCTGGAGAGCCACTCACGACTACTGTTCAACCGTCATCTGAATGGCGGGATCTCCGGCCGAAACAAGTCTCGCATGATGGGCCTACTTCAGCGCCTCCGGCAGGCATGCTGCCATCCTTTCCTCGTCTGTGATTTTGCCCTAGCGGTGCTCCAGTCACCGGAGAGTAGGGAACGCCGCGAAGGGAATGCCGGGTGCTTCGCCCCCGCAGTTATTGCTCGGCTCCGGAGCAATGAGAGCATCCTCGAATGTCCGATCTGTTACGAAAACGATGTGGACAACCCCGTGATCTTCTATCCCTGCGGTCATAGCGTCTGTGTGGGATGCTTTACCAAGATTTGCCGCGCGCCCAGCTCGACGCGGCGAGAAGCTGGCGGCGACGGGCAAATGCTGTGTCCTAGTTGCCGGGGGATCGTTGACCCGGCGAAAGCGACCGACTATATCTCTTTCGCGAAAATATACTCCCTTGTTTGCCCTGAAACTGGCGAGTCAGAAAACCTCTTGAGATACCTCGGAAAACTGTTCGATCGGTTCGAGAACAGCTGCGAAGGGGATAACGAGGGTGGTAGTAGTGCTACCTGTGCCAGCGACGGCAGTAATAATAGTAGCGGTAACTTTGCAGAGGCCTGGAACTCTGACTGGGACGGACCGTTAGGCTTGAGCTTACCGGTAGAATTCCGCATGGTCCCCGAGCCACTTAGCGTTGCCTCCAAGCAAAGCTGGGCGTTACTGCGAAAGCAGGCGCTGACCAATCCTGCCATGAGAAGAAAGTACCAGCGACTCCTGGACGAAAAATGGATTACGAGCTCCAAGATGGACAAGGCTTTGGAGATCATGCGAGGCATCCAAGCCCGGGGCGAGTCCAGCGGCGAGCGGGAAAAGATCATCCTCTTTAGCCAGTTCACTTCTATGTTAGACCTGATCGAGATCCCTCTCACACGCAATGGCTGGGTCTACCGCCGTTACGATGGGACTATGAAGCCGGCCGATCGTCATTTGTCCACGGTAGAGTTCACGACTGATCCCGACTGTTTGATATTGCTAGTGTCACTCAAGGCCGGGAATGCAGGGCTGAACCTCACAGCGGCCTCGCAGGTGATTATCTTAGATCCGTTCTGGAACCCCTATGTCGAAGAACAAGCGATAGGACGCGTCCATCGGATCGGCCAGAGGCGGCCAGTGCACGTTCATCGTATCCTGGTCCCAGATACAGTGGAAGATCGTATCCTGGACTTCCAGGATAGAAAGCGCCGTCTCATCAAGAACATCCTAGACGACAGGATCGACGTGAAGCCTTTGAAGTTGAAAAATAACGATTTCGCATATCTCTTTGTAAGTAGCGGAACCCTACCAACCCCGAGAAATAACTTCAGGCTAATCAAGACGTGCGCGGCCTGTAGGGTATGCCATAGTTATCGGGTAATGCGAGTTCCTGGGGGAGCTAGCTGCATACCATAGGAAGTAAAGCGTCTATTTATTGTCGCATCGCATGAAGTAGCGGAAAATAGCTTAAAGTACCAAGTACTTCAAAAGAACGTACCAAAGAGCCAAGTTATAAGCAGAAACGTAATTATATCAGTTGAATATGCATGATTTTCTTCTATATTAATATTTCTACATATTCGTCTACTATCTTCCTCTGTTGCTCGTCAGACAAAATACAAGAAATCGGCAGAATCGCCCTGTTAATCCTTTAGTAGCGTGAATCAGGCGACGCCGAATTTTAATCTCCACCTTTTGGTCAAAACGGCAGAAATGGTGGTTTCTAAAGTGTTATTAGCATGCAACCTATTTTAAAAACCCTGCAAGTGCCTCAGATAGCCGGATTCAATCAGTACGCCCCGGTTATAATATATATATATATATAGAGGGTCGTTAACCAACGCCCAAGTTGGTCCGAGAAGATCATTGGGGTCAATAGGAGGAAAGCCAAATCACACTACATAGTTCTCTCAAATGTTAGAAGGCCTGGATTAATAGATACAGTAGATCAATTACGCGCAGGAGGTTTCCCTAGTATAGACAGATCGTCCTTGAAAGTTGATACTGCTGAGGATAGGTCTCCCGACAACCATGACTTGTTCAAGGAAATACAGTGTGCTATTTGTATATAATATCTGGTTGTGCCCTTAAGGATTCCCTTGAGTACTTTCAGTCGAACAAGAAATCATGGCACCTACGACCGGTAACGACTCTTCGCTAGACCAATTCTTCAATTCTCCGTCTCTTATTTCTCTCGTCCGAGCCTGCAGCGAGATTCGAACTGATCAACACAGGTGACCTAATGGGTGGCGGATGTGGGGCTGACGTCGAAAACTGCCCGATTATCCGGGAAACAGTGGCTGCAATTTGCCGTGCCTCGTCAACTTGGAGGATGCTGTTCGGTTGGCAATGCTCTGCGACGGGTAGGCCATTTGGGCTTAAGGTGCCGACTGAATTGGCACGTACTGAACCGGTCGGCAGGTCCGGATGGACTGCTCCAAGTACTCCCGCACCTCGGACGTCCTGGTAAGGGGATGGATTAACTGAAGATGACGTTACCGGACAATAGTTGCCTTGTCCCGGCTGGAGGGCCCCAATGTGCCCTGTCAAGGCCTTTTCTGGTGTGGGCGTCATCCGAAGGTCGGACAGCGCATCATCGATCCATTGAGGGTGCGTACGGCGTGGGGCGGCAAGTAAGAGAACAGACCACTCTCCGTCTAGCGCACCTAATCTAATCAGTCGTAGAGTAACCGAATAACCGTGCGTGAGGAGAAATCTTATGGTGCTGGCGAGTGCGCCCCAGAGCTGGTCCTGCAATGCCGTACGGGATGTGGTGAGGACAATAAAATCAGGGCTTAGCCCGGGCGACTGCGCAGCAAGCTCGCATCGTTGAAGTGGGCCTAGCGACCCCTCTGGCGGATGTGCCACTTCCATGGGATCTGAATCGAGAGCTCCGGGTGCAAATACGGAGGATGGGCACTCGCTACCGATAGTAACAATACGGGGCACCTGGCTCCCTCCTATATCTGGTAGAGGTTTCTTCTGGCTGTCGATCTCAGCCAGAGCTGATGCAACACAGCCGGGGAAGACGGCTGCATCTGGATGGTGTACCTGCAGAAACATGTATCAGTACGCGTTATAGGTCGCTCGCCGCAACTCCGCTACGCCAGACGCAACGAGCCCAGGGAAAGGCATTAGGGGGATGTAGCCTACCTTCCAAAGCTGATGATGATCCTCATCATAGCCAACTGCGGCACTGACGCGATACCCGGCCTGCGCGAATCCAACGGAAAGGCGAGGATCACCAGGAGAGAGATCGAACACTGACGCTACAGGCAAGGGGGAAAATCGCGGAAACGCCGGACCGTCTTTCGGCCCAGGTAGATAAGGTGCGATTGGGGTCATGAAGAGTGATTCCCGACCGGATCCCTCGAGGATTCCATATCGGGCAAATAAGCCCACCGCCGGTTCTGGTCGATCGGAGGTCAGCCAGGGACGGGGTGCGCGGGTAATATAGAAAAGAACCAATCTTACCAGGCATGTCCGCTAGAAGGGATACGGCTAAAGGATGTGGGCCTACCGCTACCACATCGCTGACATTGACGACGTCCGCATCGTCCTGGTGGGCCATCCGCTCTGGGTTATGGAAGTGGAGGAGGAGCTCCTGGTCCTCAGCAGCTAGACACTCTGCCACACACGGGAGTAAGTCGACTAGAAACGAAAATTTCGTGACAAGGAGGCGACCGCCCACTCCACTCGTTCCGATCGGCGGAAGAATATCATGGACATAAAATATATAGCGGGTGCTTGCACTGCTATCGCTGTCCGCTACCTCTAGCCGCACCCGAACGTAAGTACCTTTCCGGAATGGCGAAATTTGCTCATATGGCCCACAGGAGTCCTAGAGCAGTAAAATAAGTTAGTAGATCTCTAGAAGACTCTGTAGGGGAAAGGCGAAAGCAAGTTGCTCTCCGATTCCAGAGAACATGACCATATCGGAGCCAATCTGGACACAAGCCATGGCTTGACATGGAAGGGGGAACAATGGAGTGCCACCAAGCAATCAGCATGGCATGAGAGGCAAAAGTAATTGGATGACCTAGGCAGAAAATAGGAATGGAGAAAACGAGGTTTAAAATGGACCAACTACGGCCGATGGGCTATCTGCGAGAAATTACCCACCTCAGCGTCTGTAAGGTTCCTTTTGGAGCCCCCTTGTTGCCCATCAGCATCCAGGAACTGTCCCGGCCAGGTCCGCCACCAGGCGCTATTTTCGCCAGCTATGGCCGGCAAAATACCAGGTAGAGACGAACATGAGGCAACTGAGTCGGCATCGTGGACCTCGCTTGGGTGGGCTACCGAAAAATCAACAGTAGCCTTTGATACTATCGCTCCTACCGCGGACGTCGACTCTGGCGGGCTAGAATGTCGCTGAGAGGTATCGGAGACGGTTTGCTCGGGTAATTCGGCTACACTGGAGAGAATCCACCCTTTCTCCCTACTGTCGTGCGTCTTGAGTGAGGTTCTGTCCACATATATTGATGGCATTATGGTGGGGCTGATACAGCCAGGTCCCGTTATCGCGTTGCCGTCTACTAGCGTCGGATGTCGACTCAACGCCTCAGAGTCCGGGGTCGGCGAAGGCTGGTTGACCGCCTGTGCCTCCTGATTTAGAGATATTAAATTAGTTGGCATGGAAGCGGTCTCTGTGTGTAGTTGGGGCGGATCGTCAGCCTGAGTGGCTATGTGAGAAACGGTCACTTCGAGTGGACGTGGCTCGGTTTCTGGAGGCTCACGGATAGTCCCCCAGGTCGGCGGAGAGACAGGTAAGGCTGAAGTCCCTACCAATGCCCCGTCTTCGGCTTTAGGGACAGGCTCAAAACCATGTTCCCTGGTAGGAATAATGGGGCTGTTGTGGGCCGGCATTATAATAACCGTGGGAGTCCAAGGCCCTGGGTCTAGATCCTTGAACACGGCAGTCCGCGTACCAAGAGGGACTACCTGTCGGGGACAGCGGCATACATCACGGCTGCTATCGTACACGAGATCTACCGACTGGTGGACACAGTGTGGGCCATGCAACACCACCAGATAAGACACCAACGCCCCATAGAGCTCGGTGAAAACAAGACTGTGACCGGTGTAGAACGAGACCCGGGCCGTCTTCGTGGCCTCGTCTGTAGTGTGCATCTGGATCATGCATGGCATCTCGTGGAGCCTCCGGTAGGCCAAACGACGGAGTAGCTGCAGTGACTGGTCTGAGTGCGGCCCACGGGTCTGACGGCCGATGAGCGTGACGGCGCGATCGAAGAGTTCTTTGGCCACAGTGTGGCTGGTGACCGCGTCGGACCCGGACTGATGCGGAATGGAATCCTTTGGTCCAGAGCCGTAGTCGTCCTGCGCGTGAAGCCATTTCTCATGGACGTACAGACGCTCACCCTCGGTCTGGTATGCCATGTCCACTGAGTCATTGGTGCATCGGACAAAAACAACCATGGTCTGCCGGGTCAAGGAATCCAGAGCAAGCAAGGCGTGAAGAGTACGAACCATGCCATGGGCGAACGCGGTGACTGGTACGGCCACCACGTCAGAATTTTCCAACCGGCGTTGTAGCTCTTCAAACGGTTTCCGCACGAGCCTGTATGTCCGGAAGATAGACCATAGCGAGTCGGGCAACGGCCGAGATTCCTTCTTCAACTCCGACCGGATCACGGGGCGGTCCTAAATAAGTATGAGCATGAGAGGACGGCCTAGTGAATAGGTCTCCGTGTGACTAGAAACATGTTGGGGAACTCAATCAAGAGGGGGAAACAGGTGAGGCCGCCGGGTAAGATAGGAAAATTCAGTACATACTTCATTCTGTTTAGATTCCGCACAGAAGAATGTCTCCGCCGCCGTCGGCTCACGGCAGATCGCCACCCACAGTTTTCTGGCTGTTGACTCGGTGACCAGTCCTTCCGCTCCTTTTGCATCAGCGGACGACGGGTGATCGCGTAGGAGCTCTAGGTAGCGTGGCAGCACCTTGGTCTCATCCTGCGTGATCGCGTTCTCCCAAATCGAATGGATGCTCGCTACCACTTGCTGTGGGTTCACCAGTCGCTGCCGATCCCGGTCAACACTGCCACGGACCAGGTTGTAGCCGAAGCGGAATGGCTGCTGGCCGTGGCTGGAATCGGGCACGCGGAGACCTTTGAGGTAGAGCTGGCCCCGATGTACCGGCCCCAGCAGCAGATCTCCGACAGACGTCCGCACCGAGCTTGAGGGTGCGTGCAGGTCTACCGTGTCACGCATCCAGCGTCCAAAATCGTTCAAAGACAGCCGCTGGCCTTTCTGGCCTTTCTCGACCAGCACCGAGACGTCCCGTCCCACATCAGCGCTGAGGCGTGAGGGATGGCCGGTATTGCTCGGGGCCTCGATCTCTCGCTTCGCCTTGGCCGGCGTCAGTCGACAGTAGAAGTTTGCTTTAGCCTGGCCGTTAAACCCAAAATTCCAGTACAGGCCGCTTGCGGAGATCTTGACGTGATGCTCCGCCCGAGAAAGCACGAGAGCTGCGAGCTTCAGTCCCTCCCCGTGGCCTCCGGCTAAACGGTCGTCCCTCTTCTTCGTGGTGTGGCCCATCTCCAGATGTTGCGGGTCCAGTGAGGATCCTAAATTGGTGAACTCGGCACTGCCCTGGGCCTTGTTGAAACGGATGTATCCCAGGATCTTTCGCGCTAGGGGACCCGCTCCGCCCGGACCCTGGCCTCCCTGCGCCTCGACGATGATCGTGATAGCTTCCGATGTGGCCGATACATGGGGTGCAAATTCGAGCAAGCTCATCGGGTGGGACTGGAGAATCGCATCCTTCCTGTGTGGAGACTTAGCGTCCACCTGATGACGAGCTCGGTATGCTTGTGCTCGGAGGGGGACTCACCAATTCTGATACAGCTCCCGCAGAGCGTCAGGGACGGTCCAGTCCGTAGCGTAAACGCGTGTTAAGCCAAGAGCAATACTGCGTGGTCCCAGCAGTCCAGTGGCTGGGGGCTCCTGGATGCTGTAGCTCTGGGATTGGTCGAGAGCCGACCGCTCAAATCTCTCCAAGGTGCTGGGGTCCATCTTGATAAACCAATCGTGTATGATACGTACTGAAGCGTTTACTGTCGAAAATATGCGATGTTTCCAAGTCAGTATCTCCCCTACAGTAGCAGGTATTCCCGCCTTTAAATCCTTTGTCAGATCTCTCGACCTGGAAGACATCAAGGGCAGGGTTGGCAACGACTGGGTATCCGCACATGTAGCAGTAGGCTTCTTCGGCCCCAGCGCCAAGATTCGTTCAACGTCTGAGTACTTAGCACTGCATCACACAGCTACTGTCCTAGATAAAAGCGGAGCTTGAATATATTGATGCAGAAATGATTTTGTATTAGGTGCCTAAATATGGTAATTTTCTATTGGTAGCAGCTTTCTGAGGTCAATGCTTGCTAGATATAGCACTGCCCGTTAACCGCACTGGCAAAGAGGAAAAGCAGAATAAAACGCCCCGGGGATTCAAAAGGGGAGGGACTCAGAATAGGCGATCAAGGATATGCTAAAATAATACATAAGGTCTCTTCCAGACACTCTTGCCGTCTCAGTAGGGGGTGTTCAGCGGCTGTGCTTGGAATGCGATGGCTAGCCCTCAATTTCCTGTTTCCGCGTAAGAATGACAAATCAACATCGAGAGCTTCTGAGAAGTAGGCCTCAGTTATCTTATCTCCTTGACCATGTACATACACTAGTATCACTACGTAGATTTATACAGTAGAGGCTTCAGAACCACGAGTTTTGTCACCACCGCCCGGAACGCCTTTAATCCAAGCTCCCAAATTCTATCGCGATCAGTGTTATCATGTGTCCCTTAAATATGCTTAAGGCAGAATTTTAATTAGGCCTCTGCAAATTGGTTTTGTATCACCTACGGAAAGGCATCTGTGCTTCAGCTCTCACGTACGCTATCAGCCCTGTTAATCGTGGCAGATGCTTAACAGTTTTGTTATTTCCTCAGCATAAATAACGATTATGCCTGTTCGATTAGCCAGTCTCCAGTCTGTCCTAATTACTAAGAGAGATGTTTGGATACCCCTTCCTTTGATGGCCTCCATTATACACGGCTGCCAAGCATACTAACCAATTATAGCTGGCTTCTATTTATACTAAAAGGCCGCAGGCCTAACAGACGCAAATATATCTTGCTGTAGGTTGTCACCCTTTTTTCATAACTTTTCTTGTAGGTTTCAAGCACACTTACAAAATTGGAATCATGAAAACAAACCTTGTGATAAATGTTTCCGTTCGTCGTTCTTTGAAGGATAGATTCTATAGAGAATGGACACTAACAGTCTGTTTAGGTACCAAAAGATGAAGCTTTTCCGATATTAGAGGATGAACCTAGAGAGGTGTGTCAGACATCCAGCCTACCAGTTTGGCTTCACGGTTTACTGAGCAAAACTGACAAACTACCGAGCATTTCTAAGATTGCGCAAGGACTAGCTGATTATGCTATCCGAATTTTTAGACTTGCCGATGTTCAAAAGCAAGCCTTGGCAAATTATCTACGTCTCTATTATCGAGATCTCTTTTATCAGCTGGAAGGTAACTCTCCTACATGTTGTGAACCTTTCGACAGCTACCGCGTATCCCCAATTGACTACGACGACTAAGTCAATGCTATTACATCGTTTACTAGCTTGACAGATTAAGAGTAAGTTGGTGTTTCCCTTCTAGGCTAACGTAGCTCCAGTTCAAAATGCCAACTTTCCTGTCATCCTACCAGGTGAGATAGAACAGTCCGTGGTGGCGAATTTGCTTTCACCACCGAGCGATAATGGTGCCACATCTGAAACCCAAAGAGCTGCCGCATCAATGCCCTTGTTTCGAACAGCGGCAGACCTTTCGTTAAATACCGCCCCATCCAGCAATATAAATCAGCCTTCGGCAATGGATCAAGGGGACGAAGAAAGACTGTTCGAATTTATATCATTCCCGCCGACATTCGAGGACACAAAAGGAAAAGTAGGCAGGCGATATCATGAAGGCCTGAGATTAATGTTTGACAGTCGTCCAGACGACATACCAATTAACCTGGACAACATCGCCCACGCCGTTCGAGCAGGCTATGCTGCTCTCAGGTTAGATCTCAGAAAGTTTACAGAACAAACCTTATATAAATGGCTAGAAAATGGTCTTTGGCCGCTGTTTCACAGTTACACACCTCAAGACGAAATTCGGATCCAATGCTCAATGGACATGATTTATGCAGGTATCAAGAAGGATACGGAAACTCAAACTATGTTACGCCGGATAGCACAGATACGCATGTATTATTGGTATGAAGAGCAAAAGAAAGAGCTTATTGAATCGTCCCATCCTCCGATGCAGGGTTCGAGAAGCGATATGAAAAAAATCGCAACCGATACTATACTCCAGCGATTTTATGTTGTTTGGGATATCAGTGAAGAATCTTCCAAAGAAGAGCTTCGTAAATACTTTCAAGCGGAAAAAGAAGTTGGCAAGAAGTGGTGTGAGCTGGTCCAGTATTTGAGCGAAGGAATTCTAGTCATTTGTGGCAAGCAGATGGACATTCAGATGTGAGCACACTTGATAGTCTTTCAGAAGCCTTGGGAATTAATTCTAAAGAACAGGAACCGAAAAGATTTCTCAAGCGAGGATGTACATTCAATGGCTACATTCATTGTAAATTGCTACACGAATGTTCCAGAAGTTTGTAGGTGTTTTGACACTCTCGTTAGAACCTTCATCCAGAAGGGGGTATTTGGTGATCATGAGCTACGCAATTGGTATGGCAGGCTTGACTGGGACTTGCTAGAGAGTACATTGCACAATATGAGAGAGCCACCTAGGCAGCCAGCGTCTTGGTTATGCTTGAACAAGCCCTCTAAAGGTGATTTGACTAATTTTATTCAAATCGCCCTAAGCCGAAACTCAGGCATTACGAGCTAATTACATTCACCCGCTACATCAAGTCTTACATCCTGAGTTTCTAAAATGATGGTCCTTGTGCGCGTGGAGTCCAAAGAACTAGAGATCATGATAGAATGCGGTATAGTAATTCAAGACTTCCGTTTCTTTTTGATATGTTTATTTTTATTCGTTTCCTCGTTCTTTATTTGAAAATTCGCCCTCGCGCGCCGTGTGTTTTCTCGGGTGCTAAGGAGGCAAGAGCGGCATCACCTAAACGTAGTCCTTGCTTTTGAATCCTACGCTATATGCTAAACGGTCCCACTTTTGCTTTGAAATTCTGCGTGCGGATGGAATGATGGTTTTAATGGAGCACTGCCTTCTTTAGATGGCCATATAATACCTTGAGGGAAAACTAATAGTTACGTCCAATGCTACCTTTGCACCAAATGATATGCTCCAGCCTCTTCCATATATGTAGATTGAAATGTATGAGCTCTTATTGTCGGAATACATCCTTCCGTCAGCGAGGGATAACATCCCTTGCTTGGTGTACGCTTTCTTGCACGGAGCTGCAGCTCCGGTGTTGTAACTGCACAGTACCGGAACATGGGATAAAGGATTATGAACAAGCTTTTCAGATGATGATATGTTATTGGAGGTATATTTCTACATTAATTTAGGCGGCTACTGGTTAGTCAAAGCTAGATAACGATGCAAATTGCCTCGAGAAAGACCAATAGATTATCTGGAAATATTAAGCACGATATAGCTTGATCTCAGGGTTCCAATACTAAAGACTTTGTTAGATAGGATCAGTTTGCAGCTAGATACGTAGTCAAAGTCTTCATGGATTAATTACAAGGATGATGAGGCCATGCTATTCGGACAGTCCAGGTATCAACACCTCTTTCGCAAAGACGTGTCCCCGGTCGCAAGTAATAAGTTATGTACTGCGTGGCACTAGCAAGAGAATTAGGTATAAGATTTCTGCCAGGAGTGTTCTACCGAGGGAGTATCCCTGCGTATTTCAACCCGACACTGAACAACGGTGTTAATAAACACAAGCGTGTAAAATATATAGGCAGGGGCAATCAAAAGTCATTGGCGAATAGCTCTAGTTATTGCGAATAATGTGCCCTATATAATCAAAGCTCTGGTTAGACTTATGTTGTTCGGCACTGTCTTGTACTGGGACTGCATTGGACAGGTTTCTTCCCCCTGTTGGTCATGAATCTATGAGTATGGTCAGGGACATTGACTGGCCCTCTTTTCATAGTTCCAGAAGATTATGTACGAACAAGTCATGAACGCAAACGCCCAATAATTATTATTTTGAGATTATCAATTGGGTACTGAACGAAGACGGGAGACTTTGGAAAATGTGGCCGTTGTTTTTGAGATAGCCGTAACAAGACACATGGGACAAAATATATATAATACTGGTACATAATTCTGGACTCAGTGACATCAGGTTTATTGGCAAAATTGACGTGAGTTAAGAATGAAAGTGCCTGCAAAGCTTAAGTCCTACCGTGCCCAGGGAGATCGCACCCAGCAGGAACTGATCCGCAAACGTCGACACAACTTGTTCAAACGATTAAAAGAATTCAATGATCGCTATGAGATAGAGATTTGGTTGACTATGCGGATGCCAAGTGGCCGAATTTATATTTTTGCGACGGATCCTAACGAACCTGTACCATCAGAAGAGCAGATTGTGAGTTATTTACTTAGGAAAGCTTCTGTAGATAACTGATAATAGTCTAGAGAGAGCAAAATGTTCCAGTCATTCATAAAACACCGGCAGACTATGATCCCAAAAACAATAATTCGCAAGGCTTCCAAGACCCTCCCGCTCTCCCATTTATCAATCTACCATTTTGTTTGTCCAATAATCATCGTCATGTGCCCGAATGGGGTAAAGATGCAGCTCTGGATCAGATCTGTGCTGTGAGTGGCAGCCAAGCTACTGGAACGGTCAATCATAATGACCCTGAGAAGTAGGGAAAAAACACACCACCGGTCAAATACTTGAAGACGAGGAAACCTGATCTTGTATATTTACCGATATATTTGCCGAGGCCTTGTGAGCCGGACCACTATTACCTTAGCCGAACCTAGCTAAATTGCACCTGATTATACTCTAGTATCGTTACACATCAGTTTCTCCCTTCATACAGGCTTTCCGGGAAACGGTGTCACCACTTCCTCTCTGTCCTTTCTCTCCAGAGCCTAGTGCCAAGATAAAATGCCCCACAGCTGGATGGATCTCTGGCCTACTCTAAACCCGAGTGGACGGTTGTCACTAGTGCTTACCACATAAGGAATAGTGTGACTCGAGAAGCGGGTCTTGGGAAAGTAGGAAAGACAGTAGGTAGTGACACCGTTTCCCGGAAAGCCTGTACAATACAGGTTTTCTGGGAAACGGCTTCACCATCTACTCTTCTCTCCTTTCTTAAATTCTAACGCCAAGACAACCTATCCCTGTCTATGGTCAGGCACTGGATATATTGTAGCCGTCCATTCAGGTTTGGGGTAGGCCGCATCCGCCTATGTGTGGGGTTTTCTTCCTTGGCAGTAGGATCTGGGAAAGAAGGCAAGAGAGAGTATAGGTGGTGAAGCCGTTCCCCGGATTGTCTGTCCTCCCCCAATTAATTTCTGATCCTAGAATAAAAGCATAGCGATGTGACCACTTCCTAGCTATCGTTATATGTTTAATCATAGGAAAATACTCTGCTTTGACAAAATTGGTACATATATCGCTCTAATATATGATGGCTTGCATACCTAATGCTCGTCTGTTGAGGTTACATAATACCGTAAAATTTTACATGCTAGATAAGTGCCTTGCAGGACCGCCGTTCCTGCATTTCCATTACAATGTGGTGTCGTGGGAACGGTTCTCTTAGTACCGCTCCGCACGAATTTTCGAACTGTTCGAAGTTCGCGAATTTCAACGAATCGAATAGAATTCGAACCTTGGATTTTGGGCTTCGAATCTATGGGCGATTCGATTCGTCAAAATTCGCGAATTTCGAACAGGTTCGCGAACTAATATCTAGTATTCAAGTAGGGGTTTGCTCATGCGGATAGCCATAACTTCAACAACCCTGGCTACTGCATTCATTGGATTCGCAAGAAGAGTGTTCTAGGTACAGTTTATAGCTTTTATTCTACGCTAACAAAACTATAACTATTTAACTATTCAGACTTCCAACGTTCAGCATCTTTCAGCCTTATTAGCGTCCCAAGAGTCTTGCCTTTCATAGAGAAACGTCGAATTCCCAGTACATCTCTCCCACCATTGAATAATCTCTCGATATCTACCTCTGCTGCTGGTATAGCAAGATGATCTTGGGCTACCTTAGACATACAAGTAAATTCAAGTCTGTTGGCCTTCCACCAGTTCAGTATAAACTCAGTTTGGCTCTGGCTTCTTTTCGAAACCAGTACTGATTGTAGGAGTATCAGAATACTGGTCGATATCAGATTCAGCGACATTATACTGTGTAGGCTGGAAGGCTTCTAGAAATCGATATTCGAAACTCTTCCAATTAGTACTTAGAGTAGTCGATACAGGCTGTTTTGAGGTAGGATATGCTTTCTTCAGGAACGCCCTAATTCGGCCAATAATCTTCTCTCCATCTGGTAGCGTTTTGAGCGACTTAGTCTTGATTCGAGGGTCCAAAACGCTTGCGATATAGTATATATCGATATCTTTAGCGCAGTCGTGATACTGCTCCAGAAGTGAGATTCCATCAGAAATAAGAACAGTTATTGCTGGCGAAACCTTCTGCCACTCGCCTCGTCGTTCCTTGATAGCGAAGAGTATAGAATGGAGCTCTTCAAACATACGTGCCGCCATATGAATTGAAGGGCTATCTCGGGAGACGTACTCAGTATATTCGTTGAATGGAGTCAGGATTTTCTTGATATCTGAGAGCTGTTTCCAGTCGTTAGATGTGAGACATAAGGCTTCAATGTCTGGTTCATCGTTAACTGTATCTTCGAGCTGCCGGCGGCACTCTTCAGCTCTCTCAATCATAACAAAGGTAGAGTTCCATCGAGTATCAACATCGTAATTGATAGCTTTTGTACATCTAGGTCGATTATCCCACCTCTGTATTCGCTGAGGAGATTGCGCAATCCAAAGAACAAGTAGTCGAAGCTTTGCAATAGGTGAAGTAGGAACATTAATCATCTTCCAGCTCCTTTTAGCAATATTATCAAGAATATTACAGGCTTCCTTATGCGAGCTAGCGCGTAAAGACCTCAATATAGTTTTCATAACCAAATTCAAGATATAAGTAAAGCAGCAGATTTAGGAGTTTTGAGTAAACTTCATCCTCCCTTCTCGGATGATGGTTTCGGCCAGATACTTATCATACCGCTGAGACAGCCTTCGGTAAAGGCATCAGTGTAGAGTGTCATTATTAGATGCGTTATCAGTTGTAATTGTTATAACTTTATCAGATATATGAAACCTCTCAAGAACCGTCGCGACGATATCAGCAAGGTTTTCTCCAGAGTAATTGCCTTCGATTTCAACGAACTCAATGCAAGCTCGATATTGCTAAAAAGTAGAGGTCATCCAGTGAGCATTAATTGCCAGCATTAGTAACGAATTCTGACTTGTTCAACCATCAAGGGATAGCGCGATTGACGAAGCTGAAGATATCAAGATTCGAAGCTAATTATCAAGAGCATCAAGCCGAAGATATAATCGGCGTGAAACAGTATCTGCACTTAGTACAGAGTCCTGAAAACCTGCAGACCTCAGCATGGCCTTGAATGAAGGTTGTTCGACGCATGTAAATGGCTGGCAGGTCGATACAATCCAATTCAGGGCAGCTTCTTCGAATGGGAGCTTCTTTTCTTTAGAAATCCATGAGCTTAATGGTCCTTGGTACTCTGGATGACCGTCCTGAAAGAGCTTGTGTGTTTGCTGTAGGTACTGTTTTAATGCCGTAGTTAAAGATCGCAATTTAGATGCAAATCGAAAGAATCGACAGCTAGATGGCGATACAATATACTGGTGTTTAAGCTCGAGCTGCTCCTTATTTCCTAATCTCCAGGTACCAGATTCAGGTATTGTACGGTAGTGTTTCCATACCCAGCTTCGCTCTTTCGACTTACACTCATCTTTCTGATTGATTTTAACACCTTTAACCTCGTATTCGACCTGAGAGATTGATTGCGATGGACATATGTCCGTATCAAGGTTCGATAAACTTCTAGAAATATCGCTGGGAGCCGTAGGGGACATTAAAATCGGAGGAGTCGGTGACTTAGAGACAGGCTGGACCGTTCTCTTCTTTCGAGGGGGCGGGAATGATACATCCTCTGTGACGAACGGCTACACTGACGATAGGGAATCGTGAGAATGTAGGGTATGCATTTGACGAGGAAACTAAGCTAAGTTATGAAGCTATTCAGGAGGTGGTTGCGTTATGTGTGACAGCTCTGACGCTAGTCTGTTTCGGGGAGTTAGGTTATAGGGTATCGCGAGGAAGGTCCTCGGAGGCAGGTCACAGTCCGTGACATCCTCTGCAAGAAAGCCGTATTTATTAAGTGCTGCATAATCGCGTTTGTTCTTCCTAGTATTAGGACAGTCGAATGTTGTAGCAAGTGGAGAAGTCATCTAACGTTACATTAGTATATCAAGCTTGTATCTTGCTTGATTGCTTACTCTAGAGTACCCAGAAGTGGTAGTTTCTGTTATCTCCTGAGCCAAGGACTTCCCGATATGGACTTCCGATACGAACTTCCTAGTACGGAGAAACCTTCCCGAAGGCATTCCTGCCTGAGGCAGAGCCTCAGTTAGTATATAGAGGCCTTAGACCCTCGCTCCTAGATAGCCTTTCCTCTCCATGGGAAAATTCCTTGACTACGAGTCATAAACAAACTAGTCTTTTACTAGGCTCCTTTGTAGACCGTCACAGTTTCTGATAGCTTTTTTTACCTCGATTCGAATGTTGTTCTGATTAAAAGTATATAGGCGCGGAGACGCGTTCTTATAGAATTTCCGCTAACCCGATTAGACGATCTATTTACTTTACATTGAATAAAATATGTAACTATTGATATTTTGACTCTATATTGATGTGTTACGTGTATCTCGAGGTAATCTATGAGATAATCTAAATTTGAAGCGAAATCGACTATAAATAAGGTTGTGTTCTTACTGAGTAGATTTAGGAGTAAAGTATATATATTATGTGCATAGATATAGTTAGAATTACTATTTAACTACAGATAGTCAAGTACTGCCTGACTTGGTTTACCGCCTTCCCAATGGGGATTTTATACAAAAAGTTCGCGAACATCGAATCGAATTCGAATCGGTCATGAATTCGAATTCGTACGAATCGATATTTTCAATAGTAATTCGAATCGAATCGAATCAGGCAAAAGTTCGATTCGATTCGATTCGTGCGGAGCGGTATCTCTTAGTGCGGCGTTGGAAATTATACGGCTGAGGCACCGAATCCGGTTAGCTTACCACAAAGAGAATGTCTACGCGACCAATCTGGGAGGTATAGAAATATAATTTCTATACGTAATATTGGAAAGAAGAGAGGAACAAAGAGGGAGAGGAGAATCGTGGGAGACAAAGCCCACCACCTCATTGACGCTAGTTTTAGGCGTTCCGTGGTTCTAACAAATGAATATATCTGCCAAGAAATACGCGGTGTGGGCCAGAACACAACGGGTTGGACAAATCTTGAGCTTCCCGGCGCCAAGTATATGAGTTCATCTTTCAATCGATTGGTTACTGCGAGCCGGCCCTCTATCAATGATTCCAATAATCATTACCTTGGCAGGCTTGCTGCCCCCCTCGTCAAGCTGCGGTCGTGATTTATATTATCACACCACATACTGCTTATGCCTAACATAGATAAGAAATAAAATAATAGATAGCACTCAGCCCGTATCGGAATCACATTCCTATCAGTATCCAGTTCCTGTGCTACCCTATTCTGAATGGCAGGGAAAGGGAAACTGGGCTTTTACCCCACTTAGACTACGCAACCACCTAAAAAAAGCTCCATTCCAGAAGGCTAATAAGTCATGACTCGAGTTCCCCGCAACAAGGCAGATTAGTGCACTTATTAGTACTCGGGGATGCAAGAGCCTGAGCAGTGGTTGATTCGCTTTTACTTCAATATTCGATTTAGCCATTTGTGGTCGTTCAGTAGGTACAGGGTAGATTGTGACCAGTAATAACATACATTTTACTTCCAATGAAAACGGACCAGAAACGGTTGATCATCGGCAACCTCACTAGAGTTAGACAATCTCACACAACCAAAGCCTTCGGGATTCAAATTCTAAGCCCAGATCACTATACCTTGTGGGGAGTTAGTTCCGTTAAGCTATCTATTAGACCTCGCCAACCAGGTATTAGTGGTTTCTTGGCAGATTTAACGACTAATCATGAAAATAAACGTACTCATGCGTCGTCTGTGGAGGGGGCCTCTACTCTTACCTTCCCAAGTAACCCTAGTTCCCTCGCTTATTATTCTATCGGACTAGATAACGAACTCGTTTGGAGCTGGTAGCAAAATGTTAAAGTGCAACAGATGTAATAGTGCTGCGAGGCGTTTCGAGAAGTTTGCTTCCTCATGCGCGGCATCTCCTTTGAAAGGCAGGCTGATGTAGTAATCATTAAACATAATAATTCAGGGAAGTTGGAGGAACAATCATGACAGGCGTCCGTCATCTAAGGTCACTTGCCCTTGGTGGGACCCTCACCATTGTTATGCGTTGACTAGTTTCACTATAACTGCGAACAGCGTCGCCAACGGCTATAGACCATGCTTCCCGGCCGAGATGAGGCTTTCTGTTATGAAAATTGACAAACAATCACCTAGTGTGTCTTGCTTGAAGAAAATGGTGCTAATTAATTTTCGGTCGGTCTCCCGTACGATAGACGGCTAGTAATGTAAAGAGAAGGGCGCGACGAAAGGAGGCGGGACCTGATCTCCGAGTTTGGCTAGAAAATTGTCCGTAACAATTAGACTTGGGGACAATCAAAATATTCCCTCAAGGAGCCTGCCAGTTGATAACTGTTTGTAGTTGACTATATCAACATCAAGACCCATGGTAGGTAGTGGGCACTCGTGGGCGTCGATGGCAGATTTTTGCAGTGGGAGGCGATAATAGAAAGATCAGAAAGCGGGAAGTCGATATAACTCTAACGGACAGGGCCCAGGGACAGCACTAGCATGTCACCCCTTTTACCGCAGGGCAAATCCATGGAATCTGATTCTCCAAATTTACGTTCTCACGGATGTTAACCGAGCGCCCAACATTTTGGCATGTTTTTCAGAGCAGATGTAGTATTAGGGATGGGTTTCTACTAGTTGAGACCCGCTAAGGATAACGCAATGGCACCAAAATATAAAATATAGGGAGAAAGAAACACAAATGAGGAACAAAAGATCGTTCAGCTAGAGTAGCTAGTCAAAGAGTCAAATACCGCGGCAAATTGCTCAGAAGGGATGGTCAGTGGGTCCTATTATGCCCAATCCATAAAGGTCGGTTTCCGTCATGCTTCCTCCACCTTGCGGCTGCGTTGGCCACTGCGGTTGCCGTGGGAGTTCCATCGAAACCTGTCCAGCGAACGACTGAGAGGATGTTTGTAGCTGTCCTGGTTGAACGAATGTGCCCTGCAACTGGCCACTAGGATGGGCAGGAAATGCACTGTCCACCTGCTGCGCCCGCGGAAAGTGTGTTGACGCTTGCGGGAAGCCACCCGCATGGGCCATCCATTGCGGGCCTGGTTGGGATGCGGTTGGAGGTACGGCAATATTGGGCAAAGCGGGGCCAGTTTGAGCGTTTGTCAATTGAGAGATATGTTGGGACGGCCCATTCGCATCAGTGTAGGCAGTAGTAGAAGGTGTGTGAATAGTGTAATGCGGCTGCAAGGAGCCATATACATGAGTGTGAGGGTAGCCTGGATGGTAAGAATGCGCTGGTGAGGGATGCGACATGCCAGCTTGAACACCGTGGTTTATAACATGATTGAGAAAGGATCCCGGCGCAGCACCTGGCGCCGGATGTGATGGAGCAGAGAGTTTCTGTGGATTTGCGTCGGTGGTCCACGAAGCTTGGTGTGACTGTGGTGCAGCGCTCACAAGGGAATAGGGCCGTGCGGGGGGTACCGAGAGGATCGGTGCCTGGGAATGAACCACACCGGCTGTCGTCCATCCAACCTGAGTAGAAGGCAAACTGTCCGGTACAGTACCGTTCATATGAGCGGGTTGCACACTTGGATCCTGCTCCTGTTGGTGTTGAGCACTCTTTTGGTCCAAATTGGTACCACCAGCTATCGTCGATGGTGCCGTCCATTCTGACCCCACGTGCGCGATCTGCTGCGTCGGTTGTGATCGTTGCTGAGTGGGCGTCAATGAAGTCTGAATTGGCGGACTATTTAGCTCGGTATCTCCAGAATCTTGCTGCTGCACCACCTCCGGCGGCGAGTCGGCGCTACGGCTCAAGGGCGAAGGAGGACTTGGAGATCTTCTACCGGGCGATCCTGATTCACTTTGAACGCATTGCCATGGTAGGCTATTCTGCGGGATGATGTCGGTATGGGGCCCTTTCTGGATGAAAGTGATCAACGCGGCATTGTCGCATCCTACCGCTTTCTTCATGGATGAAATAAGAAAAGGTGCCTCTCTCCAAGCCAGTTTTATTAGCGCACATAGGTTTGTCATAACTTTCCAGTATTCCTCCAGATCCCCTCGGGCCAAACGTGTAAGCTATGGATAGTTAGTATGATGTATTTAGCCAATTGATGCGTGAATTACTTACAGCTTCGCTGATCTCCTTCTGTTGTGTGATCTTCTCGATGTCTTCGTCGTGCTCGGAGCAAGTGCGTCTGTGGCTGCCTTGACCCGGGTCGTCGCTATGGGTGCTACCAGGTCGGAGGCTGCGATCCTGGGTCTCGGCCTCATCAACAGGTTTGCTAATCGCTGACTGCCTACGCTTTGTTCTCCCTCTTTTCTTGCCCCTCAGGCGATATTTTGCCAGAGACCCCGGGCTGCCCATCATGGTGCCAAAAGAGTACACGAAAATGAAGCCAAGTGTAGATGTATCTTCGATTCTCAAGTGTCGGAAGTAGAACACAGCTTGATGGACAGATTGTACAAACAATTTGATTCTTATAGTTGTCTTGTGTAGTGGAACCGGCGGGCCGTGACTTCCTGTCCGGACCTTCACTTTTTTCCCCATGGATGTGTTCCACTTGTTACGGAGTGGCCATGACTTCCCAAAAGTGAATTAAATTAGTTACTATTGAAATCGGTCTCGCTCTTTAGACATAAGCGCAGTTCAAACATTGTCAAAGAGGATATCCTTTGTTGAATAATGGAGTTTGACTCCCTGGCTGTCCTGGTTACTGACATTAGCGCAGTGGATGGTTGCATTGGTGCCACTAGTAGACCCCCACAGCAGCAGCTTAAGCTTAGCGATATGGGAATTGAGGGCTTCCCCGAAAGTTAAAAACGAAATTGGTGAGTTGCCAAGTAACTGGCAGGAATAATGACTGCCTTAGCGTTGACACGATGGGTCCCACTCCCCCACCAACATCCCATCGGCAAAACGACCATGGCTGCTAGACGCACCGGACAGTTCGGATGTGTTGCACTGTCTAGACTTGTTGAAATTGAGGGCAAGAAAACCATTACTCGACCGAGACAACTTTGGAAATGAGTTGGACTAGAAATCCACCTCCAAAAAAACGGCTCATCGACCCACGAGGGTCATAAACACACGACCAGCCCTCCTTTCTGGGCCCGGATATCTTCATCAACGGCGTGAAGACGACACTGGTGCTGGGTGCGGAATAAAACAGAGTGATAGGACTCTAAACAAAGAATCTCCAGGAAATATCGTTGTCGTCGAGCAATCTTCCAGCAGCGATGAAGTGGGAACTGAAAGAAGTCAAGGCAGTTCATTCTATCACTAGATTGAGAACTGGCGGCACCCCTTGGAAAAATATCAGAAGACTGTGGAATAAAAAATTTGGGACAGGGAGAACCATTAGTGCGTTACGAGGACAGTGGTATCGGGTGAGATGGGGCTGGGTTCCAAAAGGATCGAGAGCGAAAAGCCCGCCAGCGTCTTCTGGGCTGAAACCAAGAAGGTCGTTGAGAGGTACCAAGGACACACCTGACTTGATCCGTTATCATCGTTCTCCCCCATCTGAAAGACGGTCGATATGGAGCATTTCTCCGAGCCCTGAGCCATCCCCAGTTCCGAAGTCCCCCGAGGGTCCCGAAATGCCTCTGGTTCTGTCCCCAGCCAAACCGTCTGTAATTCCCGCCTCGAGCATTGTCGAGCAAACACAGACTCGTCCACCGCTTGACGAGGATCAGGTACAGCGACTGAAGATATCACTCGAATTCTGTAAGTATATTCTGAACCTGCATACATTCTTGTGAGCTAGGCTAACGCGGGGCAAGTAATCGTGCACTCAACGAATAAGAGAAGAAAGTCGTCATCACCCATTCCTTTGGTCCAGTCTGTCGAATCGCCTCAGTTGAGTGCATAACACCAAAGACGAACGCCGCTTCTATAGAGTCCCATCACGGAGTCATGCACGTTCATACATACGATTCTCAGAAAGGCGCTTTCCACAACACAGGAACGGGTTGATGCCATCGGCTGGATAGCGTGGGCAGCCTGGCTCTTCCCTTCCTTTGGTGCCTTGGATTCCGGACTATCACGGTTGTCTTTTCTGAGCCTTGCGCGGTAATACTAGTCCAAAGTTTCTTTCTGTCAATTCTTCCTACAAGAATTCAGCTTCATAACTCCTTGTAAAATGTGAGATAAACCCAACATGAATAGGTCAATACCGTTTCCTTCCGTCTGGACTCTAGCTTCTTTCAGTTCCCACTTCATCAACGTATCGTTTGACTTTCCTCGATTCCCACGCTAGGCGGAACCTGATTAGGGGATATTCGATGAGGCTCAATGATATAGCATCATGTTCAGTACACCTTCTGCTTGATGTACGTAGGAATCAAAGCTGATACCGCAAACCTCCACATCGGCATATTCCCATTCCCCCTGAATACTTCCAAAAGTCACTGGTGCTGACATGGGCAGCGGCCCAGTAAAAGCATGTAAACATTGTGTCAGCCAGCATCGACAAGATACCTTTCAAATTCGAATAAGACCGATTAGCATGTGATTTGCAGAATCTCAGTCGATATTAATCATTCCAGTGACTCCCTTTAAACACTAAGCATCCTGGTGAACCAGGTAGGGGAATGATAGGAGCAGGTACATTCTCTGTGTTCGAGATTCCACACAGACGCCCAATAGCAAGTCCTAAATTCGTTTGAGCAGCTGATTTGTTGAAGTCATAATGGAGATTGGATCGTCAGTCAAAAATGCCAGGCGACAGGTTGTTGACGCGACTGAAGACCCCTCTTAGCATTCCGGTATCAAATTCCTTTGTTGTACAGGCCATCAGAGAACACAAGGGGTAATTGTATCCATACAACAATCTTTTATTCATCCAACGATCTCGTCTTTTTGTGTGCATCGATTTGGCGGCTGCTTGTCCGATCTGTTATGGTCTGGGCTCAAAGGTCCAAACCCCGGAAGAAAGATGGAGGCACTCTACAGCCGTCACCTCCAACAGTCCACATTTCTCGTACTAGTAATTCCAAGCACTGCGCAGTAGGGTTGCGTGACGAACTAGATTTCATAAGAAATTGGCCTTCGGTTCGCTGGTGCCATTAAACGTGTCGGTTATGACTTTATAGGGCAAAATAACTGACCATACGTAGAATCAATGGCTTGAAGTTGGAATCAACGTTTTATGTTCTACCCATGACCAATATTGGGACAGACGGTGATGATGAAAAGGAAATGCTAGATATTGAGACGAGAGATCAGAATCAAAGGGGGAAAACCAAAAAAAAAAAAATTTGAAAAATATGAGAAAGTGACGGTGAGCAAATGCTGGGTTCAAGTCAGGAGGTAAAATGCCCCAAGGATGAAATCAGTGTGAAGGTTAATAGAAAGTGAAAAAGACAAGGAGAAGAAAAGAGCAGAAAATGTTTGTTCATAAGGGGCCCAAGAACGTGGACCGGGTATCAGGTACCTGTGCATCAGAGTATTCCAGCCAATGCGGCTTGATCCACAAGTGATTCTGATTTCGGATTCCAAGTACCCAAAGGTTTGGAATAGTTACGGGAACGACCCGCTGTCTTGCAATAGGGGGTGGTAATTGGTTAGATATTATGTCAAGTAGAGACTCTGGCGTCGTTAGTTTAGCTTGGCGAGCGAATCCACGTGGGAGCAATCCCAACAATTTCGTGCAGAAATTTCTAACCGAACTATGCCCAGGGTACCCCTTCCCGCAGTTGAATGGATGAATACGTCCTCTCAATACTCACATGATGAGCGGTGGCTCTAATATGCTCGAAAATCGGATGGAAACGCTTGATTATCTCTAATACTGCAACTGCAGAGGTTCCAGAAATGCAGCGGCCCAGTGTGGGTCAGCTAACTGACTAACTACGTGCAGGCTAGCGCCGCAAGCCATACCAGCATGCTCCAACATCACATAACGAATTCAGAAATCACAAGCATGAGACATTATAAGTTAAGGTGAAGTAATAGGGCGCTAGGCCTCGATATGTGTATGACTGTAATCAATCTATATATACTCCGATTTGAAGCAAGCATTATCTCAAAATACATAGCTGGCACTACCCCGACAATCACCCATGTACTAACGAACTATCCAAAATCTAAGGGAGTTGAGGGAGAACTAAGAAGACAACTTAGAGAAAAAGTTAGAACCATGTTGAGTCGGCTGGGAGGCTCAAAAAATATTATAGAAGTAAAACAGACACTGTCTCGTGGACCAGGACAGTCAAGGCCGTGCTGGACTTCGCCGGAGTGTCACAACACTTTCGAAGTTTCGCGCCACAAACGCGGCCTAATGATGGAAACGGTAATTATGCCACAGTGGACTTTGACGACGCTTTAAATCGTTTCCAGGAAGCGGAAGACTAAACATGTCCGTGCATGACATACATAGTTGTTGTAGTCTGCGCATCATTCGCGAAAGGTCGGAGTAAATGAAATCACTGTCATCGTCATCATCATCACCAACTGTATATAATCCACAGATGTACTTCGCAATATCTAAAGATTCTGCGCTATAAGCACGTCAGAATTACACTTAATACAGGTATTACCGAGGCTCTAAGTTAATCAGGAAGCTTAGTGATTAGAGATGTAGAGGAAGCGTATTAAATTGCACTCCAAGAGCACCTTATCAATATAGTACTGTTCTGGTATGGAAGGAGAAAAGTGCTATCATTGACTAGCACTTTTTTAGTACTGTACGTACGGGTTAGACTGCGCTATGAGGTTTTTAAAAGGGCATCTTTATTGCTCTGTTGCAGATAAATCCATTGCGGTTACGTAGTGGTCCAGAGGGCGTCCCATGCATCAGCCGCCTCTGACTCACGCCGAGAAAATGATTCCAATTTCTGTCGGAGCTTAACGGCAATATCCGTGACGGCGCTATATCCCGCTTCGTACTCATCTGGATATGGTTCGGAATGATATTGCAGTAGAAGATCGTCAGTGGCCTGTTCCACAACGTCTTGTAACTCTTTGAGTAAGACGTAGCAGGCCCGATAGAAACGATTCTTTCCTCGATGCCATCCGATCTCGCGTATAAGGTTGATCTCGTTTTCATCCATATTTGACAGTCTCTAGCTTGTAATATAGTGGTAGAAAATCAGCGTGAAAAGTTCACATTATTTACACCTTGGGGAACCAGCGTTTTCTGTTTGGAAAGGCCAAACTGGAAGCAGCGTGCAATGCTGTTAGTTTGCGGAACAGTCGGTGTCATCAATTTAACACTTTTCCTTGCACAAACCGAGAAAACGGGAGAGATATAAAAAGTGGGCTGATAAATAGGAAGAAGCCTTATTTGCAGATACATTATGAGATTGCTTCCAGCTGGTCCCAAACCTGGCTGGATTCCTTGTTCTGCGGCATGTTGAGCTCTTGTACAGCATTATGTAGGTGCCATTTACCAGAGGGCCCGCAGATCCTGTCATATGTGGCGATGAAGATCTCGCATACCTCGTCTGAGTTCTGTCAATTCTACAGCTGTTTACTACTTAATCTAGAAACGCTGATGAGAGGCGCTGTTTCGTTTCGAAACCAAAACTAGTCAGAAGTATGCTCACCGCACTTGAGTCGCGATGCATCACTGGACGCCTCACAGACCTTAGTTTGATCTGGAATCCCAGGTTTCCTCATCAGGAATCGCTCACTGCGGTTGATTTTATGCGCAATACACATGTGCCTGTATCTTATTAGATCTATGTATCATATTCTTATGACAGATGGCCTCACAATAATCAATTTCTACTGTATCTATTGCTTTACTGGGCCTTGACCCTGGCTGGTCACGACAGGGCTCCTCGTTTGAGAGGTTTGAATGCTCATGAATGGGAAATTTCATTCAATATAAGACACGAAATCTGGCCCACCATACTCGACACTATGACAGGAAGAAAGCAACCGGGCCCTTCCCCTGAGGAAGGAACTGATCGAAACATTCTGCAATGGCTACCGGGCCCCGACTACGAACCATGACGATACTAACACCCCTGAATTTACGGAATCAAAATAATCACTTATAATGCGTCCAAGTGGACTGACTAGTGAAAGTAGCCGACGAGTCCGTGGGGGTTGAAGAAAGTCGATCATAAACTAGGAAGTGTCACAATACCACAAATCGCGCGATAGCAAACATTCGCAGCACTCTAATTGTGGAGGACTGTTACGAGATGGCAAGAAATAATTAATGAAATTATAATAGACTTGACCCTATTACACGCACCACCTGGACCAGATTACAAGGCGTGACAAAGCAGGTCTACTGTACTGTAACATGTTGCCTCTTGTTTCTTCAGAAATGAAATACCCAATATTGTTTGTGGTACAGAACGAAGTGATTTGCGGTCAAATTGAGATCAGTCTAGAGCCGAGGATCTTACTAGTGCTTAGAAAGGCAGAGGATAACCTGGTTCTAGTGCCCATTTTTGGTGGTCAACATATTGACAGAATCCTCTAAGAGAATCTTGGGCGGATGGAGGTTTTCACCTACTAGGAATGATGCTTTTATACTGAACTTCCCAGTACAGTGAACATTACATTCACTACTGGTCCACTACCCTCCGATCCAGGAACTTGTGACAAGTATATTCGAAAGCCGTTCTCAAAAGAGTCATTGTGTATTGTTACAGTATCGACATTGAGATTAACCCCAAGAGCATCTTAATTTGCACCATTTTTGCAACCAGCTGCACTGGATTCCGAAACCGTCGTCTCTTTCCCTTTCATCAACTATGTAACTTCTCAATCAATCTCCAGTGGATCCCTATTCTTGAATTTATATACCAACCAAAAACCGCCCGATACAATTTTATCATCATGAATACTTACGAACACTCTTAAATTATTATATATATACAGTACTAGCAATTTCTCCGCTTCATCATTGCATAGCCTTAATATAACCTTCATTTGGATACACTTGCCTTGATCTCTACTAATGTCATTATACGTGGAAAAATGTCTTTCCGATATACCCTGCTTTCTGGCTAAGAGTGTCAGGACTTTCTTAAACTTGTATTAAACCCCGGCTCTATAGGTACACTCGGTTGCGAAACCAGTGTCATCTGTAGTTTCTTTTATTCTCAGTTTTCTAAACCTATGTATACAAAGAGTGTAAAGCGCCTCATAAAAGGTCTGGCAACTTATACCTTATTGGCTAATTTATAACCTTGCTATTTACAGTTTAGTCTCTACTCGATAAAGAAGAGAGAAGAGTCTGTAGGGGTGGCACTGGGTTTGACTTTGAGCGTACCTACTCACTGTCGCGTTGTCTATTGCTTCGGCCTTTGATTAAGCTAGTGTCTGTTTGCATTTTGACGAGGTGAAGGACGCTTAGTTGAAAGGTGGTCTGTTGATTTAAATAATTAGGATAGTGTGCGGTACATATGCGGTACAGTATATCGGACTGATATTAGTTAGGGTGAATAGAGGTATTTGGATTTGTTGCACGATTGCCTGAATAAACAGAGACGTTTACGGATGGTGCCATGGCGATACTCCATCAACAGTGCTTGAAAGATCTGAGACATTCTATATACTTGTGGAATGACATAGCGGTACATTATACAGTATTACCCTCGAAAATGGGATATTTGTTGTTCTCTAATAATTGTATATTCCGAAAATGTGTCCAGTTTGCCACCCATTCATGCCCAGATATTACCGTGTAAGGGACAAAAAACCATAACCACGCCTTTGACGTACTCTAGGAGCGGGTTGGCTAAAATCCTGTGCTTCTCGTGTGGTGTTTCGAATGGTTCTTTCAGAAAGGCTACAGTAACGCAATTCAAGAGACATGAGCTCCTTTCTAGCCAAATGACGACAAGCTTTACCCTCATCCTCAAATCCGAAATCCAGTCATTTCATTGCGCTTTGTTGTAGCCTCTAACTCTTGACTTGGGTCCTGAAATTGTTTAGAGAACACTATTGGCGAACCCAAGACTCTGTCGTAAACTGCAGCAGACTTGTCACTATGTAACACTACTGCAGTAGCAAGCAGAGTACCTTCCACGGAAGAGACATGAGCCTCTAGCCAGCCCTGTTTAACCCGACTGGCTGTTAAAACCAATAGAGCTCCTGGATTTAATTTGCCATAGTGGTAGATGTTCACATTGCGGACGTGGTTGTCGGCAATTACTCCGGCGATCATCTTGTATAAAAGAGTATTGAGGATGCCCCAATTCTGGCAGATTCGATGGTCGGAGGGTGTAGTGACCTTTGCTTTGATATATGCTTCGGTTGTGTCATATGGCTCCAAAGGCTCCAATAAAAATTTGGCGAGCGCATCATCTGCCAGTAGGCCAGTACAAGGGCGGATCGGTAGGTTGATAAAAGGGGGATCGTTTGCAAGTCGGGACATTTTTTAAATGAGATATGACGAGAATAACTAGGAGAGAGAAAATTTGGTCAGAGATTATTGTAGTCTTGGAGGTTTTGGTTGTGTCCAGGCTTTGACGGTATCAGGTGGAACTATTCAGAAAGGCTTACAACCTTTAAATACAAAAAGGTGTACAGTGCCTTGCACATTTGCCTTGCCTACCACTTGTTTCATCAGTCTTGAACGTTTAACGGCGCGGGATCTGAACTAGAGGTAACTAACTTTTAATACTTAGATTAGCGGGCGGAACTGAAGTAGTCAAGCCTTAGATCCCCACTCCTATAGTCATGAGTAATTCGGAAATCTTTTAATAAGTAGGGCAGATTTGCAAGGCACTGTTCAATCCAGCGGTGGATTGTCAATGAGGACAACCATCCAGAGCTAATTGCCTGTTTACCATGTATTAACATGAAAGAAAGACGAGTTATTGAGAGGCTACTCATCTTATCTGGTAGGTCAGCGTATTACAAATATTTCCTATAGGCTAGAACAATTAATATCAACCCGTTCAAAACTTATCGTGACATTGCCACTTTTCATGCAGTATTAATATATCATATGTTGAGAATTGTATTTTTCGATATATGCCCTATGCGCTAGTTATTCATTTATGCGGAACCTTGTGTTAAAAACGCTTAATTTTGTCAACTTTTATCTATCAGTTCCCCCAATGGTTTCATAAATCAAAGAAAAGTTGAACAGGAATATTCTTTATCCAACAATTGTACGTAGAGAGTTTGGTGTCTTTCCTGATTCATAGACATGGGTAGGTGAGGGACGAGAAAATGGAGGCGCCTGATTATGCGCCATTGTTACTATACATGGAAATCTTGAAAAACCCCAGGTACATAGAAAGATGTGAACAGAATGCTGAACCCTTGCATCAGCCCCGAGACTTCAACACTTCTTAGGCGTCCTGCAGGGTTTTCCTTAGTCACGATGCATACCCGGTAATATATAGGAGGATCCGCATAGGCGTGGATTCTCCAGCAGCGGGATTCCATTGCTTGAGTTTTTACAGGATGGAAACTAGAGGGTCTAAATGCTTTCGCTACAAAATTTCAATCAATCGTCATATTTTCCGGAATTTTGGAAGAAGTAAATTGGTCCCAGCCACGAAGCAATCCGCGGGACAAAATAACCTGCTATCGAGGTATGGAAGGCCCCGAGAGAACTGTCGTCATATTTCTATTAAAGACACAAAATCTCAATTAGGTCATCCATCACGAATAACTACCGAGAAAACAAGACAGATCCTGTAAATGAAGCGCTGCCAGAAATCATCATAACTAGTGTCGATGGGCAAGTGACACGATGGCAGCAGTCTAATGATCAAGAAGGTCATTTTATTTAGGGCCGTATGGCCCTTTACGATATGTACATATAGTAGCATATGTATCGGAATTTCTAGCCAGGGCGACAGCTTTCTTTTTCCGTTTTAGTGCTTACCCCTCGACGCTTTTTGCTCACTGAGTAGATCTGAGCACGCCCTGAGCGGCCTGAGGCGATCACTGAGCACGGAGTCAGTGGAAGATTGAGTGCCCTGAGTGAGTAACCTCAATAAACTGTACACCAACTAGCGATCTCAATGACATGCCCATGTTTCCCCATCAAAATGCATAATACTGAAGATCCATAATATGACGAGCTGAACATGCAGCGTTACCTGCGCCAAGGTGTTTACAGTGTTTGTGGTGTTTGCACTGTTTGTCCCACGGAGTGGGTTTGTTTACTGCTTCATGCAGTAGATCGTTGTCTTCTTTTTCCTTCTTCAACCTAGTGTTCTCGTAAATGACCTGCAATAAGAGCCAGTTATTCATTCCTGAGGTCGTCACAATCAGTCATTTGGGGGCTTGTAAGGTACGAATATCTTTCATCAGCTCCTGTATGTCACGGGCTTGGCAGTGAGTAGGTGCGCTTCTACCCGCCAAGACCGTTTAGTGGGACAGTTACCAACTGAGCTACTAAAAAGACCAGAATACCAAGTCTTCGACTTGGTATGCGCATCGCTCTATATAGTAAGCCTTGGTCAGTTCGTCACACTGTAGACTAGGTACAGTATTAAAAGTCGACGCATGCATCCTATTGTCATGGTCCTCAGTTCGTCACATATTGGATTTCCTCGCTTTGTATTCGCAAATATCGCATTTTCCACATTCAGCATCTGCGACACGGACTATCGATCCTGACACGTCTTTTCCTTTTTCAGAAACTATATTTCGCTGTCAGGTAAACCGTTGACCTCCGAATATAAAATGTGGAAAGAGCGCTTTGTGGGTACATACGCCTCGCTTATAGAATACGATAGGTTATTGGATGTCTCTTACTAAGGAAGACTTATCAGAGCTATTCTACAGTTTGCTAAGTGAAAGTGCTATAAAGATAACTAAAATTAAACCCCTTAGATCGACGAAACGTACGATGCTCTTAATTGGACTCAGCATCATGTTGAATGAGCGATGGCGGTGTTGTTAATAACTGCAGACGAAAGTTCGTAGATCGCAGTAGTTGTTATATATATCGGTTACAGTGGCAGAAGCTATGCCGGTTATAGGATAGGGTTGCTCGGGTACAGCGGCTTTTGACCTCATCCCTCACCGCCTATTTCTTCCAAAAACCTCCTTTTCTTGAAATAGCTAAAGAAACTGTCACCCTCTCTTGAGGATTCGTTGCTCATCTTTTATTATTTCGAGACAAGTGCAGGAACTATACTATAACTTGGTCCTGGGCGTTGAACCTAATGGTTCTAAGACATCCGGAGAGTGCGGCTGCACTTCAAACCCAGAATAAAGATCGCTTGAACCCAGCCAAAACAATGAGCATCGAGACAATCATGTGCAGGGAATCTACAACCAAGTCGGCCTGTCGTGACGACAGCCTGAAAAAAAGGCGCGGTAGCCATAGGATTGACCAACAAGAGATCAATATAAGTTTCCGGCTCCCTGGTGTCCACGCTTTGATAAATGATCACCCATGTTCCAGCGCTAGTAGGGTTTTACCTGCTTGCTCAGATGGACAGTTGAGTGATCCCAGAGGGTCCCAGTACCTACATCACGGGAGCGATTTTGAACGGATACAGCTAACCCACCGGAAAGGGTTCCTTTTGCTGTCGTACGATGAGAGAGAGCAAGACCGACTTGATTTTCTCCACAAGGTGTTCTCCATCGCCAGACGGTCCGATGACCTCATTCATGTTCCTCACCCGGAGAAGGGCAGGGTCTTGGACCTAGGCTGTGGGACGGGAATATGGGCTATAGATGTGGCTGAAAGAAATCCAGAAATGTTTGTCGTGGGAGTCGACCTTTCTCCAATCCAGCCTGATCGACATCCTCCTAACTGCGAATTCTACGCCCCATTTGATTTTGAACGCCAGTGGCAGATGGGACAGGATTCGTGGGATGTAGTTCACCTCAGGATGGGACAGGGCAACGTGTTCAATTGGTTAAATCTCTATTGCAGGATCTTTGCACACCTCCTCCCGGGTGGCTGGTTTGAACAGGTGGAGATAGATGTTGAGCCCCGTTTTCTCAACAGCCCCTCTCGGCACTCGCCTCTGAGACAGTGGTACCAAGCCTTTGAGCGTGCCACAGGGCAATCTATGCGGCCACTGACTCACCATTCTCAAGACACAATGAGCTTTTTGCGGGCCACTGGCTTTAGAGGAATCAGCCACCAAACAATCCAGTTGCCATTAAATCAATGGTCGTCCGATTTCCACCAACGAAAAATTGGTCGCTGGTACGGTCGGGCGTTCCTGCAGTTCATTGAATCATTGGATCTCGGCCTTTTCAACGGCATGTTTGGTTGGGCCCCTAATGAGATACGTGAACTTATTACCCAGGCAAAAGCAGAAGCATCTGATTGCAGTGTTCACAGTTTTCATGTGTTACATGTATATAGGGCCCAAAAACCCCGCTGAGCTAGAACCTGATATTCACTCGAATGTGTCTTTCACGCTCTTTAAGCCTAATTACCTAATTCCGTCGATTATAGGGCCTCTGAAAACCGGTGTCACCACTTATCTTTGATTGTTCCTGTAACTCCAGCGCTAAATTGCACTAAGCTCCCAAAATAAATTGTAGTATAGTAAGAGGTCACATACTTCCAAATTGCTCCAACTGGTGTGATAATTCATATTCTGAGGTAAAGGTAACAGAAACATCAGATTAATTCCTGCTCTCGGTATATTTATGACATGCGCTAAACATCCCTTGCAAGCTTAATTTGAAAATCAATGCACTGAGCAACTGCGCTCGGTGTATGTTATCTTTGCCCATAACTTGCCCTCCGTATGCCTTAGAAGAATGACATAAATTTCCTTCATATCCCGGCTCAAAAGTGTAACCCTGCAACCTTTTTTTATGTCCCTACCCTTGATGGCAGGGCCTTTCCACCAACCAAGAGGCGAACGCGGATGTGTTCTGTAGTCAAGATTGTAACGAACGGCTACACTGACGATAGGGAATCGAGGGAATGTAGGGTATGCATTTGACGAGGAAACTAAGCTAAGCTATGAAGCTATTCAGGAGCTGGTTGCGATATGTGTGACAGCTCTGACGCTAGTCCCTATCGGGGAGTTAGGTTATAGGGTATCGCGAGGAAGGTCCTCGGAGGCAGGTCACAGTCCGTGACAAAGATCCAATTTTGCGATATCGGATGACCGTATTTCCCTTATCGCCGGATATCTGTAATAACAGTATTCTGAGTAGACTCCTTTCTTCGTGTTGGTAAAAACCTTCTCCAAAGGTAGCTTTACCGTCTCATGGCCATTTATAATATCGTAGATATTCAGGGTAATGCCAGACGGGAAGTAGACCTCATATCTATCCTTGTCATATTTCCAACCATCTTGAAGAGCGGCAAAGCACTTTTCGTTTTCGTATTTAAGATCGCCTGAATGGTCACCTGCGATAAGAGCAAGGTAGAGACGGCTTGACGATATTTGGGGGCGATAGGTGCTCAAGCTATGGCCAATAAGAACTGGAGAGCATCGATCAAATGTCAAAGCAAACTCCAGCCAACTAGTATCTTTGAAGATCTGTTTCCAGAGGACAGAACTGGTGTTTATGATGTTTTCGACATCTGCTGGCGTCATAAAGTCCTTGATGCTTAACCAAATATCAAGTGGGGTTTCAAGGAGCTTCATTATGAATGACTGACACCGATGCTGGTGTTGATCCGGATCTTACCAGGGAAAGGTATTTATCGATCGCAGGGCTCATCCGGAAAAGACTTAATCTTAAGCATGCGCTTTCATTCAATGCAGGTGCTCAATTTACGCTAAATCCTTGGCAGTAGGGCCAAAAACCAATCAATTTGTGGGACTTTTATATATATTATTATCTGTATTTTTTGCCAAAATTGTGATATCTTACATTTTTGCTTACAAGACACCTTACCTTAAGCTCTACCAGTCCTAAGCAGGATCGACAGACCTTATCTGACAAATCTAGCGGAAAAGGTTGGCAATCATATTAAGACGAGAAATACATATTCTATTTTTTACCTTGGGAATACTGTACAAGCTGTCCTACTGTTCAACCAATCAACTCTTATAAATTTTTTTTGGATCTGTCAATCATTCATCATGTATGGAATATCCCAAGACTAGCTTAAGAAGCTTCTTGAGAACGACTAGCCGGACTTCTCCGCGATATCTAAGTAGTTTAACATATTACTTATGGTATTAGTTCCTTATTTAATAGCCCTTTGAAAACTGGACATCGATACAGTCAGTCTCGAAATCGCTCTGACCTTCTAACACATGACAGATGTTTTCCAGTCCCACTGCCAAGAGCTTAGTTTAAGAGTTATAAGTCCCTATTTGCCAATAAATAAGGGCAGCCGCAACTTTCCTATTAAAAATATTCACAGCCATCCTCACTGGGTAAATATAAATTCCAAACCAAGGTCTTGGCATTGGGGCCAGAAAGCAAGTGTCATGTGTTGGAAGGTCAGAGCGATTTCGAGATCCACTGTATTAACTACAGGGTCGTAGGTTACTGTTAAGAAAAGCCGCGGTGTAAAAATAGAGAGAAGTTGTCTATACGTATCAACGGTTTGGCACTATACGTGAGTTATAGCATGTTTAAAGCTAAGCATAGCATAGATTCGATCCTTGACGCTTTCTTTTCAGTTATATATTTTAAGTTGAATTCAGATTTCTAAAAACCAGCGGTAAATACTCTTAAATACCAAATCTTAATAGGGTAGCTGAATCAATTGCTACTTGAAAGCTCTCTAAAACTGGCACTTTAACTCGCCATCAAGGTTGGACAGGTTGAGATCTGAGAGGTTTGGTTAGCCAAAACAAGGCAAAGGAATGTATCTGCCTACCTAGATTGATATTTGGGTAGTTGAAGTGCATGTCATGAGTCCCACAGCCACATGATAGCCAAGTTCCATCAATGCTGCAAGACGGACAGAATCTTGACATCTCGCCTCTAACGCATGTTAGTACTGCAGTTTCCATACAACAGCTGTACCCACCCTTCTTTTGCCCTAAGAACCCCATCCTCATTGCTATAGCAAGAATTCAGATCTAGGCTACTTCTCATTCTGGTGCCATCCATTTTCGTGCAGGTTGCAGTCACAAAATGCTGATTCTCTAGCGCTATTTTATCGCAGGTAGCAGAGAACCCGCGGGCAGCTGACATGGATGCAAGGTGAAAGCTGCCCAGAAGCCAAATGCACTGAGATCTCATACTGGAGAAGGATCTAAAATCGGATAAAAGAAAAATATGATCGGCTCGACAAAAGATACTTGGAACAGACAATATGATTGATATAAGCTGGAGTGTTCCTGAAAACCTCAATTCTTATACAGCTGACTTGGTCTAAAGGACATACAATGTAGTATTATCAGGAGTTCTAATTTAATCATCTGGTATTATCCTTTTAGCTTTCTCGATATAATCCGGTAAGTCAGTATTTTTGCCTGTATGAAACTAGCCTTGTCCTACAGTCTTTCAAAAACATAACAAAGTTTCATGAGATAAGGTAGGGAGTAATAAATCATAGCCCGTGAATTCTATAGAAGTTGTATTGGACACTACAATAAGCGGATATAATACCCACCCGATTAGGGGCAAAAATACCTACCAAATATGAACGTAACTGACCACTAGAGCCAGGTAGCATTGTTACAATAACTCATATGTATATTACACATTATTTAGCCCCCAAATTAATTCATGTATCCACTCATACCGGCAATTTTTCATGATGTCATTGAGGAAAGGACGTTTTTATAGCAATAATTTACTATGTTGAATCAAGAATATCTGTATATTCACGGCAAAGAGTGTTCGACGGTATTTTCGACCACGCTC